ATTGTGCCATTTATATGTCTACAATTAGGTCTGTATCAACTGGAGGAAAGTTTTGGACATGGAAATGTGTTGATGATGATTTTTTTTTTATTTGGACGAAGTGAGTCATAAGTGGCTGGGTTACTAGACTCACAGCTATGAGGTTGCAGGTTCCGATTAGGGCCCGCCTATAAGCTCTTTGGAAAGATTCACAAATTTTCCTCATTTTATTCTTTTTGGAATGGGTACCCGACTAACGCTGTGAAAGATCTTGTCAGTATATTGATGTAGCACCAGCAAAAGATTAGCTAGCTCTGATGTTTCTCTGAAAAGCAGGGAATTTTCTAGGGTCTTAGTATAAGGGGAAAAATTATTTATTTGAATTTTGAAGCACAGAGCATCGTACAGACTTTCAAGCAGGGGGATATATTTTCCATAATAGCCCGGTGTCTTGATGAAGGACCAAGTGCTCCATCTCTAAAATAATCTACAATTTACATAGTGTAAAAGAAAGCCTAACACTTCACAATGAAAGAAAACTTGCGCGAATTTTAATCTACAAATCGACTCCACGTACGCCACTTTGAAAAGTGACGTTAATTACACTGAGCAGCCCCCCCCCCCCCCCCCCCCGGGGGGGGGGGCGGTGCCACTGACTGAAGTGTCTTTAGGCCATTCCCAAAGGGGGGGGGGTCTTTTCTCGTTCTAATGCACAGTAGAATTGTAAATGGCTGATCCAACAATGTCATGCTCATAACTGTGCCTGAACTACAACAGGGAACTGCTGCTTTTTCTTTCCTAATCCTTACTATCGTCATTTTCCTCTACTTCTTTTGTATGTTTGTCACACTCTTGTGACCCGCTATTTCGGGGGTGCTTTGATAGTAGAAGCAGACTTTGTGCTGCTGAAGCTAGAGAGGTAAGCAGAGTAAGTCTGATTCCCTGTAAGGACTTCTCTGTTGACATCCACCCCTTGGCGCTCATATGACCGTATGCAGTTGCGAGCGCCGTTGTACCTCTCCTAAAACTAAACACTGAGCAGTCGAGGTGTGCTTTGTTTTTTACATTTTGTGTTCCTTGATGTTCATACGAAGACAGTGAATGTTATATCCCACTGACATTTGGACTGATTGTTTCGGGTGTAAGAGGCCTAGTCTGAGTCTGAGACAGTGAAAACGGCACGGAAAAGATACATCCTGTTTACAATTAATGACTTTAGTAGTTTGTGAATCTCAGACTTTGCCTGTTAGTGACTGACACCAACGATTTTCTTGAGTTTGTTTTTTCTCCACGACACCAGCTGATTGTGTTCAGATTAAATGATTGTTATGTAATAATAATAATAATAATGACGACAAAAAAATGATTATTTTTTCCTTTTCATTGTTAATTCACTTGTTTCTGTAAAATTACGTTTAATTACCAAGATTTAATCTTTAAAATGTTTGTCACAATGTAGTATGACAGTTGTTACTGACACCTTGAAAGATTTGTCTTTATAGGTGAAGGACAGTTTGGGAGACTTGAAAAAAAATATACATGTCGTATAATGTTGTATTCTAGTTTGAGATCATGTAGCCTACTATTGTTGGTAAAAAGAAAAGTGCATATTTGGGGATCATGAACATGGTACTTTGAAATTTGCCATTTTGTATTGAGTTGTTTTTTTAAAAGCCACAAAACTGCCAAATTGTTTGCTGAGGTCAGCATTTTCATTTCTATATTTAAATGTGTAATTGTCATTTGGCAGGCACGTTGGTATTTTATGCTCAGGCTAGAATTGGGTTGAATTGTTTAACATGTCTATTGTTTTTTGTTGTTTTTTTTTCATTTTCCCTGGTAGTCCGTAGACCCCTCTTCTCATTGTCTGAAGTTTTGACCTATGTCTTCAGTGTCGGTTCTTTTCCTTGTATACCGGTACGTGTAATTGTGTTGGCGTAAGGCCCACTTGTAGCCAAAACAGATGGTCGATATTTTAGCCTGTGAACAACCTGGGAACCCAGTTAACCTGGCTCAGACCACATACATGTAGTTAAGTATGAGGAGGCAAGGCCTCTAGTCTAAGACGTACCCTGAGATTGTCCTATTGTTATTGTAGTTGTTATCCCCATCTGTTCCTCACCCCTGTGGTAAGACAGTGTCACCGGTACTTCTTTGCTGTGACAGATGTTTGTTGTTGTTTGGGGGGGGGGGGGTTGTTGTTTTGTTTTTTCTTGTCACGTGTCCATACTTTTTCCCAACCCTTTCCTTTATGAGCATTATCGTGTGGATGTGGCTCTCTTCAATTGAAATTTTTCTGTATGTAAACTGTATGTGCATAAGTGTAAGTATAAGCCGGGTTGCTATATAAAGGCCACTCTCCTGGGGATGTGCTTGTGTGAATGACTCGACCCGTGTACAGGGGATTGTACGTGTGTGAGAATACTTGTTTGAGTGAGCATGTCATGCGGGTTCTTGAGGGAACACCTAACTTTGTCTGCGTGCAGCTGGAAGTTTATGTGATGGTAAAGGCACTTTCAACGGATTTTCCACAACTCATCCGAGTGCATCCGGCTCTTAAAAATTAAAGACAGCTAAAGATCTTGCCAGTTTGGTAGTTTTTGAGCGCTTGCAGTGTTTGCTTCGTTGGAAGTCGAGAATGTTTCTGAGTGTTGTAGTTGTAGGGTGTTCTGAGGTAATGATATAATATGTAGATTGTAAAACGCGTAGAACTTACTGTTTAGCAGGGATATGCGCTATACAAATACTATTTATTGTTAATTATTATTACATCTGTGAATGAGTACATATAATTATATGGGCGTGTGCCTTTGCATTGACATCGCAGTTTGTGTGGAGGTTTACAAGTACATCCTTTACCTATAAAGGTGCAGTTGAGACATACGTCGTACACACCGGTATATCTGCACAAAGATTTACATAAAGACTACAACGAAAAAAAAAACCATTTAAAAAATCGAAGTCCCAAACTAGTAAATTTAAAGTGAAATTGCCTTTTACACAAGCTCTAGGTTCCTTCGTTTTCACTCAAAAGCCTTAATATAACAAAGCAACAGATTCTCTCTCCTGTTAACTACCTTTGGAAAAATGAGGGCACAGTGCTAAACAAATATAATCAAAGTGCGGTGTGTTTTTAACATTATGAATTTATTTCCCGTAAACTGGAAAAATATTATTTTGATTCTTTTCCCGCTTTATATCATGTCTGAACACATACTTTAGCATATAGTCATGAGTGTGTGTGATTCCCATCATGTGCACTTGGATGTACGTGCATAAACTCACGCTATAGATATAGGGTGTGGGCATGAACCTGTTGGAATGCGTGCATATTATTATGTACATGTATAATATAACATGCACGCGGTGGGATTATGGCGTGGCAATGCATGTAGCCAGGAGTATGTGTGTGCGTATGTCTGCCTTGTATATTTTTGAAGGCAGTGTGTGCGTGTGTCTGCCTTTGTTTACTTTTGAAGGCGTTCGGACCTGGCTGGAACAATAAACTAGTAGATTCCATTTACCGAGTTGACTTTGAATTCTCTTTTCGTTTTGACTTTGAGCATAATTTTATAGTTTTGAAGAAAAAAAAATATGACAACCCAAAGTGGTTGCGTTGTATAGGGTTTATTTTTGTTTCTTTCTGTCTTTCCCTAATCGATCTCGGTTCTTCTTTTCTTCTTGGAGCTACATCAATGTATGTGGTTTGGCGACTACACACATTGCTGTCACACGTAGGAGACCGGAGTTCGTTCCCGATTGAGAAGAATTTTCATCGAATCCCCGTGTTTCTGTTAGGATGTTGTATCACTCTCAGACCGGGTTGGTCCTGACAGTCAGGGTCGAAATCCCACCTTCTCAAATTAGATTTAATTGTTTAGATGTGTGCGTAACAACACCTACATTGCACATCCTGCCTTCCAAGATCTGAATTGGATCGATGGGAGCGTAAAAGCACACTGTGCGTAGTATTGTGTTTTACAACTAAAGCAGTCAGTATGTGAATGTTGTGCTGTTGGTTTTTTGTTGGGTTTTTTTTTTTATAGTAGAGGGTTTTACGGCGCTCGCAACTGCATACGGTCATATGAGCGCGCGGGACACACCTAATACTTTTAGTTGGTAGAAAATTTTGAATTTTGCCCGGGTGGCGGCCGAAGCCTACTCTTACCGATTTTAGACCACCAGGGGATCTTTAACGTGCGCAACTTGCACACGGGCTTTCCGAGATTTTTCGCCCTTGTCCGAGAAGGCTAGGTGTAGATCTTTCCTACCTGAAGATCAGGGGTGTGGCAGAAAGACAGCTGTAAGAAAGAGTCAATGAGTAGCAGTAGAAAGGCTGCAGAAAGAGTCAGGAGCCCAGAGGAGGGGGCAAAGGAGGTGAGGGGGTGGGGGCAGAAAGAGGAGACGAAAGCAGACGACAGAATATTGCTAGAGAGCAGAAAAGGAGGTGAAGGGAGACAATTTTAGAGAAGAATTTTTTTCGGTCGCTACCCGGATTCGACCTTTGAATGAGAGGCCAACACCTTAACCTCTAGGCCATGAGAGCTGTGGGTTTAAATCTTTTCCTTTTCTGTATTACCACGGTATTGTCCTCATATTATGTTCCTGGCCACATACTCACATACTGCCGTCGTAGTGGTTGGCGGGTGCTGTGGTGTGGTTTGCTACCTCTTTCCTCTCAAATAACTACTCGTATGGTCCTTACCGCTTCGCTTTCTTGTGTTTTTTACTCTCTTGTAGCACCTCTAATCGTCCGCACTTAATGGCCTAATTGTGTTGCAAGTGCCGTATAAGGCTTACTAAAACAAAACAAGCGCGTTCCATTGACACCTGGAAATAGGAAGATGCTGCCTCGCCAACAATAAATTATAGCGGGGCCGTCGGCGAACTGTTGATATAATGAGGTCTTCCGCTATCAAGTCCCACTTCATGCAGTTGATTGACGATAGTGTTTGGCTATCTATCTATCTATCTATCTATCTGTCTGTCTGTCTGTCTGTCTGTCTGTCTGTCTGTTTGTCTGTTTGTCTGTCTGTCTATTCGTCTGCAGGCCTGTCTGTCTGAATTACCCTTTAAAAATATATCTCAAGTCGGGTAAAAAAAAAATTAACGGTGCACTCCGGCTGAGCGACAAACAACGAAAATGGGACACTATTCAGAAACTGAACTCTGAGCAAAATGATTTTCCCCTTTGTACCCCATGGCCCAAGTGAGCTTTGCTGACCTTGGAGGTTGAGAAGCGTTTCAACTTTGCAACAAGGAAAACTCCAAGTTGCGGAGGACCTTTGGATAACAGCGAAAACCATGGCCAGGGCCCCCCAGACTGTTGTGTTGTGTTCCTGTTGGCGTAAGTACCTTCCAGTATAGCCAGATCTGGTCTTGGGCAGGGATAGATAGATAGACAGACAGACATACAGATAGATAGCTTGCGTATAAGAAACCTTTCTTGTACGCTAAGATAGATAGATAGTCGCATTCATGTTACTGTTCAGTTGCAAAGCAAACACACGCTCATACGCACGCACACACACACACATGCATACACATACCACACGCACACACCGTAGATGGTTGGAGGGTGTCACTGGAGGTAAGTCTTACTTCCTTTCTCTTCTTTATGTATGTTCTTGTTTGCTTGTCTTCTTTTTGCCTGCACTAAATAACTATTACTGTGTCAAAATGCGTGTAACACCTCTAGACTCGGCACTTATATGACCTTATTGTGTTGTAAGTGCCGTAAAACACTTACTAAATCAAAAACCTTGTTAACTGACTGAGGTTCAAGTTGGTAGCCAAAGAAGAAAAGGACAGAAAATGTGAGGAATTTTGAGAGGAGATATCTGCTGACAAAGCCCTGCAGAAGTTTTGGGATCTGTATGAAGCAATGAAGAACCAACAGAAAAGTAAGTCAATACCAGACTTCCAACGAGAGGACAACATCTGGGTCAGAAGCGATGAGGAGAAGGGAAATGCTTTATTCAATCGGTATCTGGGACAAACTAACCAAAAGAATGAAGTTGAAAGACGAAACATGTTGAAGAACCTCCTAATTAATGCACTTCACAAGCCAAACATCTGAAGTTGTGCTTACATCTGAAACAGTTAAGCGCACCATCATGAGCGGAAAAGGCACAGCACCAGGACCTTGTGGCTTGCGAAACTCACACACGAGGCAGCTGAGTGAGGCAGATCTGGAGGTTTTAACACAGGCCTTTAACAACAGTCTTGAAAATGGACAGATACCGACTGACTGGCTGGACAGCCATCTGGCACCAGTACCCATGCCTGAGAAAGACCCAAGCTAGATTGCATCCCACAGAATCATATTGCAGAACACGAAAAGATGTGGCCCAAATGCAGGCAGCTGAACTGGAGGAGAAGAATCTGCTACCCCCTACTTTAGGCAGCTATAGTAAAGACAAAGACACTTGGATGAACGCTGCAGTCCTGGCCTCTGATGAGGATGATGGTTTTGAGCGGGGTGAAGAAACAGTAGAGGTTGCATTGGACTTAGAAGACGCGTACAACAGGGTACAATACGAGGTACTGATGAGAACGCTAGTCAACATGAGAATCACCCCAGCTTTGATAATCTGGGTTGGAGAAGCAATATTGAAGAGGAGGGTGGCTATGAGGCTTGGCTCGTGGGCATCAAACGCTTGCACGATCACACCTGGCTTACCTAAAGTCTCTGCCCTATCACCTGTTTCGTTCAACGTGTATAGGTAGGAATCACTTCTAGCCAATTGGAAGGCCCTGACAGGACACTAAGCTTTGCGGATGGCGGTCTCGCATACCACACATGGAAAGACAGACAAGTGATCGCCAGCAGTATACAGAAAGAGCTTGATAGGATTGGAGCATGGTATGAAGCAAATAAAGGCAAAAATCCATCCTGGAAAAGCGACTGTACTTTGGTGCTCCCTCAACAATCGAGCAGTGAAAGCTCAGATGCCAGATGTCTACATCAAAAGCCAGACAATTAAAAGGGAAGACACACTGCGCTACATCGGAAAAATGTTTGACAGGACTTTGAGTGGAAAGGAGCACATATCGAAAATCGTCACAAAGGCCAGAAAAGGGATGAATGCAGTGAAAGTGATGGCGAGAGACAGGATGCCGCAGAGAAATTTGGTTATGCTCTTTGACATGCTTGTCTTGTCTCATGTAGATTATGGTTTTGGTCTGCTGACACTGTCCCAGACGCAACTTAGAAGGCTGGGCGTGATCCAGAACGAAGGAATGAGAGCCATACTCGATTGCACAAAAGATACATCAGTTGCTGCACTGCGATATATGCTAGGCCTACCCAGCATGAACGAAAGACACAGGCTCGCACAGGTCAAAGCTTATCTGAAAGTCTGCGCAGATCCACAGAATCCTCTTCATGACAAAGTAGGTCGTCAGACTAACCTAAAACTTAAACGGGGCACGGAGTGGATGACCCAGGCAGTGCGAACCATTGAAGAGTGTGGTCTCACTGTGGGGGTAATCAGACGAGGGAGACAAGGGTACAGCTTGCGGACGAGGTGAAAGATAGATTCACTCCGGTGATTGCTACATTAGGGCGTGAATGTCGTGAATGGCCTGAAGGAGCAACACATTCAGAAATCCATATTCTAATTGAAGAGAACTGCAGAGAGGAGGAAACCATTATCTTCACTGATGGCTCTGTTCAGCGTGGGATCAAATCAGGCTGGGCTTACGCGCTTCTTGCCAAGGAGTAACAGTCCAGGAAGCATCTGGGATAACGGGTCTCACTACATCAAGCATATGCACGTAGATCAAGGCCATCTCTGAGGCTCTAAAATGGTTTTGCACTAACAGATACCAGCAGGCTATCTTTGTTACAGACTTATGAGTACTCTGGACAAGATCTTGACTGTCAACCTCTATGCAGATTGGTTTAAGATAATTAAAGACAGTAAATTCAGACGATTGCAGTGGATCTTCTGCCGAAGACATGCCGGAGTCAATGAAAATGAAAGAGCAGATAAGCTGGCAGGCTCCGCAAACATAGAGGGAATGCTTACCCTTGACCCTCCAACTGTAGTAGTCCTTGTCCGAGAAAACGTAGCCAGCAGCCGTGACGAGGACTCCTTCTCGAAGAAGGTTGTGATTTTAAAAGGAGTGCAGCTTGGTGAAGGTAGGAAGAGCAGGCTACGTGACAACATCAGACGCTACAACAACCAGCTGATGATGTAGACAATCATCCTGCCCACACTGAAATGGACCCTCATGAAGAGGGGCGAGGAAGCATGGAGCATCCCGTCTTCCTAAGACTCCAGTTCTAGATTCAAGTAATTGAAGTACTGACGTCGTTGTGGGGTGTTGGCCTAAACCAATGTTTGCCGACCCGAGTGATATCGCCCAATAGTGAGAGAATCGGTAATTTTGATGGGCGGTGGGGATCACCTGGGTCATCATCATTGCCTTTCTCACCCCACCCTGGATTAGGATAAGGGCACGAACAAACACTTTCCACCTTTCCCCATCCTGGGATAACAGCTTGGTGCTATTCCATGTCTTCCCATTTTTTCTGTTCATCAATTTCTGTAAATCTTCTCCAGGTTCCAAGTGGTCTTCCCTTTGACCTTTTACCCTGCGGGTTCCAATCCAACACTTTCTTTTTTATGCAGCTGCTTGACTTCCTGGGAATATGTGCAATCCATCACCACTGCCTTCTTCCCACCTCATCTATGACTTGGCTCTGTCTTGTTCCCTTTAATACTTCCTTGTTGGTGACATTGTCAGTCCATCTGATCATCAGGAACTTCCTTAGTCACTTACACGCTTGTACAAGAAAACCTGGATACTCTTTATGCAAGTCTGAGATCAGTTCCGTGTCTCACATCCAAACAACAAAACTGACTTCACGTTTGAGTTGAAGATCCTCAACTTTGTTCAAAGTGAGATATCCCTAGCGCTTCAAATCCTATTCAAGGATAATCCTGTACCTTTCTGACGCGGGGTGTTATTTTCAGCGATCACCCGGGAAGTTTCAGGTTTAATGCCCCGCTTAGATATACGTGTAGGTGGCTCATGCGAAAATTGTAGCCTCTCAAAGGTGGCAAAAATGGGTGCTGGCTATAGAAAGGTTGACACATACGCTGGTCAAAAGAAAATAGCGTCCACAGAAGCTGAATGAAAATCGTAATAGCTATCATACAAAATCCAAGAACGCGAGGTTTTTTTGTGGGACTTTTTGGTCGCTTTTTAAAATAATTTTTAAAATGATTAGCATTCGGAATAAACCGTTTTCCAAATCTATGCAGATACAGTAAAGTAGCTGACATCAAATATCACCCACCCCCCTCCTTTTTTTCCTTTTAGGGTTTTAGGGGCACCAGGAGAGAGAGAGAGAGAGAAAGAGAGAGAGAGAGAGAGAGAGAGAGAGAGAGAGAGAGAGAGAGAGAGAGAGAGAGAGAACCTTTTGAAGTCCAAGAGAGTCCCGTAACCTTATATTTACCGTACTATCTTGAAACTTTATATTTGTTTAGTGGTTACGCTTTACATTAGGTCCCAAACACCGTTGTAAAGTGGGTATCTCTATCTATCTATTTATCTATCTATCTATCTATCTTTCTATCTATCTATGTATCTGTCTGTCTGTCTGTCTGTCTGTCTGTCTGTCTGTCTGTCTGTCTGTCTGTCTGCCTGCCTGCCTGCCTGCCTGCCTGCTGCCTGCCTGCTGCCTGTCTGTCTGTCTGTCTGTCTGTCTGTCTGTCTGTCTGTCTATCATTTCGTCCGTCCGTCCGTCCGTCTGTTTGTCCATCCATTCACCCATCCATCCATTCATTCATCCATCCATTCATCCATCCATCCATGCAAATTATAGTTTCCTTCATTCCAGCCGTGGTTTCAGCACTTGGGACAGACGGACAGATTATTCTCATCGTCTTCGTCCCCCTCATCATCATTGTTCTGGTCATCGTTGTCTTGAAGGCCTTCCAGGAGATGAGAGAAGACAGGGAGGAACAAATCTCTGTTTATGATCCTTTCTTAGATAGGGGACTCCGGGTAGAGCTCAAATTGTTGTTGTTGTTGTTGTTGTTGTTGTTGCTGTTGTTGTTATTGTTCGTGGTGGTTGTGGTGGTGGTGTTGTGTCTCAATTGTTCTCCTTTCTCTCTTTCTCTCTGTCTTTTACTTTCTGTCACTGTCTCTCTGTCTCTGTGTGAGTGGTTGGTTAGCAGATGCTCTGGTGTGGTTTGCTCCTTCTTTCCTATCAAACATCTATCGTCCGGATCTCTCCTAATTCTGTTTTGTGTTTGTTACTCACTTGTAACACTTCTAATCTTCGGCACGTATATGACCTCACTGTGTTGCAAATGCTGTAAAACTCTTACTTTAAAAAACATGTCTCTGTTTCTGTCACACACACACACACACACACACACACACACACACACACACACACACACACACACACACACACACACACACAAACACACACTCATACACACACACACACACACACACACACAAACACAGACACACGTATGCAAAGGGTAAGAGTATGGTTTTAACACTCTTATCAACGATGCTAGGTTATTTAAGCGGTGGAACCTCCAAACTTTAGATCCTACTCCGAAAAGAGAGAGCCAGGTGGACAGAGAGCCTTGAACATTCCACAAAACGACTCAATTACAAGAACACCCAGTCAGGGATTCGAACTGGAGCCATCCACTCCGCCGTCCAGCATAATATCTACTGGGCAATCTGCCCCCCCCCCCCCCCCCCACACACACACACACACAAACACACACACACACACACAAACACACACACACATAAAGAGAGCGAAAGAGGATAGATAGATAGATAGATAGATAGATAGATAGATAGATAGATAGATAGATAGATAGATAGATAGATAAAGAGGGAGAGAGACAGACAGAGAGATAGGGAGAGAGAGAGGGAGAGAGAGAGAGAAAGAGAGAGAGAGAGAGATTAACTCTGGCCGTGCTCCATATTGTCACAGAACCGCTTCCCACCTTACGTGAAGCCCCCAAGAGCATCTGGAACGATCACCTATTCAGTCCCCTCGCCGACTGCCACGATGAATCCGCTGGGTCAGCAAATTTCTTCAGCTTGTAGTCCCGTTTACACACTGCCGGTGACACAGTCGCTCGGGTATTCCCAGTACCCTGAAATAGACGGACAGAGGATCCTTCGGTTTGCCAGCGTGGACTGCCGAACAGACGCTGGCGGGTCAGTCGGATTTTTTTTAAAATTTTGTTTTCGGTATTTTGTTTCGTGTTCTAGATTTCTACTTCTTTTATTGTTAGACTATTTACGTTTTGCCGCTTGTTCTGTTTTGTCTATTTGATGATATGTTTTTTATTGTTAGCGTGTTCGTTATTTGTTTGATTATTTGGGGGGGGGGGGGTTGTTTGTTTGTCCCCTTCCCCCTCGAATAGCCGTTAACTTTATTTAGTAAGACGTACCTCTCAATTACGGTCCAATTCCGATAGGACGAGGTGCACAAGCTAAAAGCTCCACATTCCAGATTCATGGACAGCTTTGAATTCACTTCATCCGCTCCCGAGTCTGTTTAGTCTAATAGGCTACTTTTTTCGTTCTTTCTTTCTTCTTTTTCTTTTTTGTTTGTTTCCCCTTGCCCACTATAAAAAGGGTCGCCGGTTGATAAGTATATTATTGTTATATATATGAGTGTGTACGTGATCAGCTACTTTTGTTTTATGCACTTTCTGCGTACCAAAGTATTTATGTAACAATGTAGTACCTTTACCTTTTTTTTTGGAAGATTTGAAGCTTACCATGTGCAGTTTTTTGCATTTGAAAATAGTTTTCCGAAGACATTTGTAAATACATTTATACAGATTGTATTGGAGGTGAGAATTTCTCTGTACCACTCAATTGGTGCAAGAATTTTGTTTTGTCTTCAGAATATTAATAGAATGTGGGCTACATTTCAAAAACGTACGGAAATATAGGGTAAGTTCTAAGGAATGGGAACAGACGACAGACAGACAGACAGACAGACAGACAGACAGACAGACAGGCAGACAGACAGACAGACAGACAGACAGACAGACAGACAGACAGACATACAGACATATAGATAGATAGATACTGACAGACAGATAGATAGATAGACAGACAGACAGACCTTTTATGTTTCTACGCCTTCTGCTCCCGGGCCTTTTTTTTTGTCTTTTACTTGGCAACCCAACTCCCACCCACAATCTAGATGTCAGAGCTACCCAGACAGTGAAGTGTCTATCGTGGCTGAGTGTCACGCGAGACTGAGTATCAAGCCAGAGTCGGAGCCAAACTATATCTGCCCCAAAGTTCAAGACCAGATAACCCGACCGTTTCACGCCTGCCAATCCGACTACCCTCGCCAGACTGGCAAACCGAGTCAGCACAACAGCTTTCTGCACGCTGCAAAAGCATTTCAGAGCAACCCCTACGGCCACAGAAGTTCTGACTGTGAAAACGCACGGCATGAGAAACGTGTAGGTGATGAGGGACCCAAACGTCGGTTGAGAGCGTTTAAGAAGGCAACAAAAATGCTTTCAATGCGTTTGACAAGGAGCAACGACAACAGTGAAACAAATTCGCTAACAAAGGTTCTTCACAGAGTGAACAGATCCGGGGTCATACCCGGGATGCAGTTTTTGCCAAAGAAAAGAACCAAACAGTTACCTTCCCGTGATCTTCAGCACAAGGTCAGAACCAGTGAACAAAGTGATGCAAGAAGCATCAGCATTTTAGCCTCTTGTGTGGCCTCAACTGTTGTTTCTGACGTCGAGGACGTGAGACAAGATATGAAGCATTTCGATGAAAATAAGAGGAACTAGTTGTCTTCAGATCATCTAGAGGACATTCATTATTTCGGTAAAAATAGGAGCTCTTTATCTCCAGGAAGCGTCCACACTGTGGGACATTGCAAGCGTAATTTTTGCCCTGTTTTGCCTCATTCTCTACCCCACTTACCTCAAAAGCGTCAGGACGAAAGAGTGCATGACAGTATATTATAAAAATCGAGATCTTCAAACCTCACCGCAAACAAACCTAAAGGACACCGCTTGAAACCAGAACCCAATAGCAATAAATATAATCTTTCAGCTCAAGAAGTCGATAACGTCGTAGCAGGGATCAGTGCGGAGGGTCACCGACACTTTGCTTCTTCTGGAAGCTCGCTGTATTATATGCCAGAGCAAGGCAAGAATAACAAAACCGAGGAGGAATTCCAAGTTGCTCCCGCGATTGATACACCTTTCTATTATTGGTTACATGACAGCCCGTCTAGTGAATCATCGAAGTTTAAGCTACCAGCATTCAATTCGGAACCAGAAAAAAGCTGTGACGCGGGTCAACCTCAGCCTGCAAATGTCACTTCCGGGGAAGTACTTTCCGTTGACCGCGCAAGCGTGGTTCTGACGTCAACGTCGCTTTCTACTCCTAGATCACCACGTCCTGACTCAGCACACAGTGTCACTTCTTTTCAGACATGCACACCACGGAGAAAACGGGGCTTCAGTGCTCGCGCGTCTGATACCGACTCGCTCCCCAGCTGTGAGAGGCTTGGACAGCGGTCTTGGCTTACGCCATGGGAAGCAAAGGATAATATTTCTGTCCCTAGTTTCGTCACGGCAGCTGACCCCCTCGACAAATAGACACACCCATGGGCTATAGATTCTAGAAATGGACCAGTTATTCATACACCTAATTCATGAGGATAATGATGCAGGTGTTGGAAGGATGCCACTGGTGGTTCCCATTTCTTTACCCTTCCCATGCCGTTTCCGTCTGCTGGTCGTCTTGCTTTTTCCTTACACTTAATAGCTCTTTTGGTGCCATTGTGCTTCTCTTAGTGGAAATGCAATAAAACAAGAAGGCAGTTGCTATGATTGGCCATGAGTGTTCATGACTGTTAATAAGTATCATACTTCGATTGCTTTCATTCTGGGGGTCCCATTGTCATTGAAAAGCTTGATATTGCTTTTAGGTCAAGGAGAGCTGGGTTTCTCATAATATTTCATCCAAGGACCCATTTGCTGAGGAAAATATTTCTTAAATAAGCAAGATAGAAGGAATAAAGATTTAGATGACTTGTAACTTCTGCTATGGCCGAAGAGATCATTTCTGGTAGATGAAAGTTTGGCACATTGTCAGTATTTAATTTAAAAGCTTCATTCTAGTTGTGGAAGTGACGTCTAGTAGTCTAGTGATTCTGGGGTACGAGGGGTTAAACCTATACAATTTCACCATTTGTTTTTCACTTGTGGAGGTGCGCTGCTTGCAGGCTTCTCTCTCGACTTCTGCATTTCTAATTCGTGAAGCCTCATTATAATTATTATGATTGCTGCCCTCTGGGGTTGCTTCTCTCCAGCTGCTGGGTCTGTCTGGGGCAATGCTCCTATTACAAAGCGTTGGATGCTTAGTAATACATTTATTGGCACGGCACATATATCTCCTTGATTTCATGAACTGACAGCAGAATACAATGTCGCTTCGACATGGTTTTGTCCACTTTCTCTCAAGGCGCTGCTTATTCGAATAAGTAAAACTTTGCTCGGAAAATACCTATTCGCCAAAATGAAAAAGGCAACTTATTTATATGATCAATATTTGTGAACTGTTGAGTTGAGCCTCATTTGGTTTGTTTGTTTGTTTGTTTGTTTATTTGGAAACGGTTTTGATTACAGTATTTTTGATTTGTCGAAATACTTATTAAAATGTAATACACTGGATTCCATTTTTGCCTTTTATTTAACTTAAAGACTTTATATTTGTCTGCATTGTAAGGTAAACTATGCTGAGAGGGATAAAGCCAACTCGGTATCTATATCATTGCTCTCCATTTTATAGCAATCAGTTCTCCAAATACAAAACAGCGTGTGGCATAAGTGTAATAACCACGTTCTTCGCTGTTGCATGCAGAGGACGCGAGTTCAATTCTTAAGAGGAGAAGCTTGTGTGGTGAATAACTTATTCTGTATGCTGGGAAGCTGTATCCACCCTGTACCCAGGATGCCCTTGACAGGCAGAGCTGCAGCAGCCCGCCTCCCTAAAGGCATGTCAGTCATTAAAAGCATAAGGTAAACTTCTGAATACTATACTAGTGTCCGTGGTGTAGCAGTTGAGCTCTTCTGTTTTGCACACAGGAGACCAGAGTTCATTTCCCGAGTGGGAATAATGTTTATAGAGTACATGTATCTCGCTCTTTATGCTGTGTCCCTCTGACCCCCTGTTAAACTGACAGGTAAGGTCAAAGATTGCCTTCTAAATGGTCAAAACTGTGTCGATGGGGGTGAAAAAACCCCCGGCTACATTAAAGTTAAAGAAAACAATTCTCCAGTAGAGAAGTTCATGCCATCAAGTCTCTCTCTCTCTCTCTCTCTCTCTCTCTCTCTCTCTCTCTCTCTCTCTCTTCCTTTCCTCTGGAATGCGTTGTCCCGACTGACTCCGGTTGGCCTCAGCAGGCAGGGTAAAGTTTGGAAGCAGAACGTTTTCTTGATGAAAAGTGGGTGGTTGGTGGGTGCTCTGGTGAAGTATGCTCCTTCCTTCCTATCAAACATCTATCGTCCTCATCTGTCCTCTATCTTTTTGTTTTGTTTTGTTTGTTTTTATTACTCTCTTGTTACGCCTCTAATCTTCGGCACATATAAGAGATTATACTTTATTGTTCCAGTGGAAAATTTTATAATTATATCGCCTAATCATGTTGCAAATGCCGTAAAACTCTAATTAGATTTTCAAAACGTTGTAAAAAAAACTAAGTTCAGATAGGTATGCTGGCAGAGGCAAGTTGTTAACAAAGTTATGCTTTGATTCTCATTCCTCGATTTACCTGTGCCACTGGGCTTTGACCTGCGTCTGTGATGTAGCAGTTTGGCGCTTCGCAGTTGAAGGGGGGGGGGGTGATGAGAGGGAGTGGGGGGAGGGGGGGGAAAGGCAATTACAGCGAATTATAGGCGATTTCCAGGTTGAGAACCATAGATATGGGGTACATAGAAGCGGAACCAATAAATTGGCAAAAAGATATTATTAATCCGAATACAGGAAAAAGAGGCTAAAACAGCGCCTGGAAATGGATGGCTGGTGCCTCTATAAATAAATCATTGATGGTCTGGTCAGGAGACCCAAGTTCGATTCTCGCTTGAGAAGAATTTTTTTTCAATCACGAATCTTGGAACTTTCTGCTGGGGTGTTGTTGTAACCCTCTTAGCACAGGTTGACACTGACCGGCAGGGTCAGGGGCCTACCTCGTAAACGATCTAAATTGTGTCGAGGGGGACTGTAAAATACCATTTTAAAAAGGTTACAGTCATAGTACCTCGAATTATTTGTGCCACCGAGCTTTAAGCTATGCCATCCATTAAATAACTAATGGCGTCCCGACGGACGGACGCGTGAGAAAAAACATTGCTGTTATGTGTGTGTGGTGTATGTATGTATGGAGAAGAGAGGGGAGAGGAGGGAGGGGGGAAACTGCTACATCCTCAAAAGAAAAGTTTTGTCTCGAAGTTGTCTTACCGTGTCCGAAAGTCGGTACATGTATTTTACGACAATATGCCGGTGCTTAAGTGGTGGGACTTCCTGGCCTGTAACAGTATAGGTGCTGGTTCGAATCTCGGTAAGGGTCGGGGACAAATCACATAATATTACAAGTTTCACAAAGATCACCATCATTATGAATATAGAGATCTAAATAACACAATTGAAACGAATTCATGTACAGAGAAGTTTTATTCAGTGATAGAAAACGATGGAATTGCAGTGTGGATTTGAAATGTAAGAGTCATTCAACAGCTTTCGCTCTCCGTTTACAGAATCCACTCATGACAATTCATATGAACTGGACCCCATGGATGACAGTCCACTGGATATTATAATGAATAATTAATAAATAGCATCTGTATAGCGCAAAATCCCGCTCAACAGCAAGCTCTTTGCACTTTGCAATTTATATTATTACCCCAGCAGACCTGATGATATTCTGAAGCAATGTCAACTTGGCACTTTACAAGCTACACTATTATTACCCCCAGTATGCCTGATAACATTCTGAAGCAATCTCAACTTCATTCCTATTGTTACTTCGCTAGAGCGTGTGGTCAAATGTGTAAACAGTTTTTTTTCTTAAAAACTCCCGTAAGCCTTTCAGAGTAGAAGCGTTTCCATCTACGTTTGTATACACAAGACAAAATGTTCAATCAAGGGGGATTGAAACGAAGTCGTAATATTATTATATTACCCTTTATAGGGAATAATCAACTGTGCATGTTGCAATTGCAGAGAAGTCCGCTTAAACCCAAATCTGCTGCAGTTTATTGCCAGATATGCTTTTATTGAGCCGGCTTTTCTCGGTTCAGAGAGGTTGCTCAAATGGAACTAATAGAAGTAAAATAAAATCGATGATTTTTATTTTCTTTCCTATTGCTTCTTTTTTCGCATAAAACATATTGGGTTTAAGCGGACTTATTCTCTGTACAGCTGCTAAAATGTCCTCTATAAGCTGTTTTCTTATCTGGACAATAATTCTTGCTAAGATAAAAGTACTCTTTCGCTTCAGCAATATTTCATTGATGTTGCTGTAATTGATGCTGTTGTTATTGATGGTGCTGTTATTTATGTTGTTGTTGCAGAAGTTGTTGTATTTGTAGTTGTCGTTGGTTTTGTTATAATAACATGAACTCCTGCTGCTATTATTACCTTTGATTTTGTCATTAAATACCTTTCAAACAATATCTCAATGTTTGTAAGCATAGTTGGGGCTTCTACATGAATGGGCAGCGTGTCCGATAAACGCGTGAGATTCCCTTTTAAAGTTGAAATGCCAAAACTAGTAGTGGAGTCCGTAAAACGGAAAAGGTCGGACCGTCAAATTTTACTGAGGTTCAGCTGGGTTTTCAGTAGAGATCGGAGACCCAAAAAATTGGGGATTTAAATTTTCTTTTGATTTACAGTTGTTTTCGGATTAGCAGTGCTTGGTTTAATCGGAATCCACTATTCCAGTATATTTTTTTACGTTTATGTAACAATGAGGCACTTAATCAGTAGTTGCCAAACGTATTAGACTTAATAGTGGACTTCATGAATGCTCTTAAGAGAAATAAAATCGTTTGATCTTCATTTTCACCACATAGACGGGAGCAGAATGTGTGTATGTGTGTGTGTGTGTATTTGTGTGTGTGTGTGTATGCGTGTGTATGTGCGTGTACGCGTGTGTACACAAGAAATAATGAAAGAAATGAGGCACCGGTGGTAGATAAAAACCACTTTTTTAGAGTATCCATAGTATAAAAAGTATGAAAATTAAAGTTATCACGTTCATTCCGCGAAAAAAGGTATGTTCATAAGAGTTCACATTTGGAAGGGAAAAAAACCAGTAAAGAATGGCAGGCAACTTCGTTGTATAAATAATTCACTGGCACAAACAATGAACACATAGGTCTACTTCAGTGTGTGGGTCTGAGAAAAGGGTAAACACGTCTCAAGAAAAAATCTGAAAGCATGACAAAAATAAAGGGGTATTATCTTCATGAAAAGTGCAGTACAATAATGAAAACTCATTTCGTGAAAAGAGAACGACTACTGCAGGGGTCTTTTTCTCACCACCATGTCTTCTTATCTTTTGTGGCAAACAACAGTAATTTTAAATTAAAGAAAATACAGTGACAAAACCAAAACAAAGCAAGCAAGGCATCTCAAAAAGCGAAAAATAACATACATCATGAAATCAGATTTGTAACCTTAATAGTCATTTGTCGTGTAAACCCTTCTCCCACGCCCACAAGAATAATGGAAAATGATAAATTAAGTTAACTCAAATGGCATCGGCTTCGCTTTGTGAAGGGACGATACAATTGCGACTTTAGAAGAAGCAAGTGCGCTCACACTGAGCCATGGTATCGAAGAGGTTGTCAGCTGGGCTGTTGAGGAAATCGCAGGAAGCGCAAACGTTGACCCTGACACACTGACCGAGGGAGTGGTCAAAGGTGAACTTGCAGGTGGGGTTCACATCAATTGCTGTGGCGCGGCAGTCCCGGGACATGTACCCACAACCTGGACGAGATGAACAGGTGAGATCAAATGAGATGATGTTTTTGGGGAGAGAGGGTAAAATGA